AGAACAAAATCATGAATTTCACAGCAACCTGGATGGAACTAGAGTCTATAATACTGAGTGACTTCTCACAGAAACAAAGATCCGAGTATCACATGTTCTCACTCATATAATGGACCTTGAACATCCAATGTAATACTATAGGAAAATGACTGACAGTAGTGGGAAACTATGGGGGGGGAGGGAAATGGGATTAACAGTAGCAAATATCTGTCTTGGGACGGGGAAACACCTCTTATCAATAGGGTGCCTGAATGAAATGTAATTGTATACCTAACCCTTAACTGTACCCCACAACATCATAATAAAAATATTGAGATAAAAAAAAAAAAAAAAGAATTTCCAGATCACTGGTGTGCTTGTTACAAATGCAGATATTTGCTCCCCCTTCCCTTTACATTTATTTGGGTAGAGCTCAAGAATTCTCATTTCAAACAAGCACCTGCATCCACCAGTCAATGTAAACATGCTGAATTTCAGAACCATTGTTTTAACACTTGGCTTTTCCCCATCTGGTACTTTGGACCAATGGCAGAAATAAACCAATCACAGTGATTTTTTTTCACCAAATATTGGAAGCTAAAGGTTTCATTTACCAAATGTTTATGAAACAATATGGGTGAGGGCACAAAAGAAATGTGAGCTCACACATTTTAATGTATTGTGATTCTTGCGTGTCATGTAGACAACAGTTCAGCATGATGAGATGAAAGTAGTACTTCATGAAATTTAAAGTGGTGGCAGAAGAAGACAATTGAGGTCATCCTGGTAGCTGTGGGAATAGGAAGGAAGAGACAACTTCAAAGATCATTTCAGAAAAAGAGAAGCCAGTAGAATTCTGTGGCAAATTAAATGTTAATGGTAAATAGAAAGGGATAAAGTAGAATATCTTGGATTTTGAGTCTGGGTAGCAGAGGATAGAGAGGCCCTAACAAGAGGATGGAGTGTGAAACCCTTCTGAAACCAGGTAAGATGTGGGAGCAGAGGGGAGGCTTTTGTGGCTGGGTCTTTTACTACCACATTTATAAAGATAGTGAATTGAATTTTGTGATTAATTTTTTGTATGAATGGATTTGACCAAATTGAGATCTAACTAATGATTTTTTCTATTGCAGCAATTGTTCAACTGTCAAGCTCTACGTAAACTAAGTATTCCTGATAATGATCTTTCAAATCTGCCAACCACTATTGCTAGTTTAGTTAATCTTAAAGAACTCGACATCAGTAAAAATGGTAAGACTGTCGTTTTTCTTCAAATATCTTAAAATATTTTACTGAAAATGTGCTTAAATGTTTCTATATATGAGTGATATAAAGTAACCATGATTTTGTTGAACTGTAAGTTAATTTTGTGGAAAAGTTAAGTCCTAAGTTATAAGCCCCGAACAGAAAATCTCTCTCTCTCATCCCCTTTCTGAAGTGCCTGACTCAGTCATACCTTATTTCCCTGTGCATTCAGATATGCAACCTCTATTTTCTAGAATATCTTATGCTTTTATGCTGCTTATTCCCCTTATGCTCAGGGTAAGATTTTTTTCTCATCATGTCCAATTGTTACCTGCACAACAAGGACTACCTATTCACCCTCACCCTACTTGAAATTATACTCTCAGTTTTCCTTGATGGGCTTCATTTTTTCCCCCCTCACTACTGTCCTCACAATATTGTATAACTTACTAATTTACTATGGTTGTTGTACATTCTCTCCTCACTCAGAATGCAAACTCCATAATGTGATGAGAGAAATTTTTCTCTGTTTTGGTCATTGATATACCCCTAAATATCTAGAGCAATACCTGGTAAATAATAGGGTCTCAGCAGTATTTTTTGTATTTCTAGCCAAACTTATAAATCTGGAGTTTCTGTAGATGCTGCTGCTGATGTTTATATTCAGGCTGATGATATTTTAATTTGTGTGTTTGTGAGGGTGACACTTAGAGCTTCAGAACATCTCTTGCATCCTCATTCATTCATTAAGTTGGGATTACTTTCTAAAAGACTTCAGCTCTTCAACTTACTAGAATAAAAGCAAGGATCAAAAGAGTTATATCTAGGCAATATGAGGAAGGATATAAAATATGATCCCTCCATCATTTAGCTGGTTGGTTCAGGTGTGTGTGTGTGTGTGTGTGTGTGTGTGTGTGTGTACAAGAAGGGTGTAATCCAGTCTGTGTGGTTAGAGAAGGTTTCTCTGTTATGTGCTTTGGTTACATCAGTCAAAATATTTGGTGATGAAGGGACAGCCATGAACAAAACCAATCCCTCCCCTTGTGAAGCGTGCATCCAAGTGGGTGATTTAGACATTAAACAAGTCATGGCAGATGATTAAATAAACACTTTTGTGTGAAGATACAATCAAGGTAAAAAGTTGTGCATACAAGAAGGGTGTAATCCAGTCTATGTGGTTAGAGAAAGTTTCCCTAGGAAGTGACAATCATCAAACTCAGATCAGACCAATAGTAGTTAGATAAGATTGGTTTGATGTACTAGTAAACAAAAATCTGTTTTGTGATAGACGATGGTTTTCTAATGAAAAAGGTTTCTTGGTCACATACAAATATGGCTTTTAGAAATTCATGACAACAGTCCTGTCTCCTTGTCTTTTTTCATTCAGTCAGGAACCCTCCTCCATAGATATCTGCGTTGCTTGTTCCCTTACCATCTTCAGGCCTTTGCCCAAATGTGCTCTCAACAAAACCTTCCCAGACCATCCTTTTCACATAAGATAGTGACATCGTTATCTCCCAGAAGCCCATCCTACTCCCCCTTCAAGTTTTTTTTATGAGAAACTGACACAGCATATATTTAAATTATTTATGTATTGCCAGGACAACCCTTACTAGAATTAAAATTCAGTGATGCCCCTATGTTTGTTGTTGTCGTTGTTGCTGTTTTGTTTACTGCTATATCTCCGTTGCCTAAAAAGTCACACAGCACATTGTTGGAGTCAATAATATAAATTGAATGAATTCATGAATGAATGGTTGTTCTGAAACATGGAACACTTGTTGAAATTTACTTCTGTGAATTGCTAGTGATTTTCAGTTGAAGTCTTCGAGGATCATCAAAAGGTTTTCAGTATCACTGGGGAGATAAGACTGACTCTCATAATCACAAAATACTACACAGTGAAGTGCTTAATTAAGAGGCAAACATTACAATTATAAATTCTTAGAGAATGGAAGATTAATTAAGACTGCTGTTTTGTTAGGGAAGAGTTCAAGCAAAAGACGTAGCCACAAGATTTCCATGAAATACAGTGGCTTCTGAATGAAGGAGAACATTTCATTTGAAAGAGTCAATCAGCATGTGAATAGGGTACCCAAACACCTTTTTACACCAATTTGACCTACTGCTTAGAGGGTTTTAGGCAACAATCCAAAAAGTACCACATGCAGATACATAAGGAAAATAGCAACTAGATTTAGATCCATGGAAAGATGACCTTAGGTCTACCCTTATTCTTTTGAGAATTGATTTACAGGCCACAAATTTGTATAGATTGGTATTCCTGTACTTTAATAACAATTATTACTACTTATATATTTATATAAATTCACATATCAAATTCTATTTTGTTTAATTACAATTTTTGAGAAATACTATATGGACAAATACCACATCCTTTGGCTTTCAGGCAGTTTTAGCTGGATAGGTATATAGATCCTCTCCTATTTTTAAACAGGATCATAAAACTTCATCACTAAATACAAACGTGAAATGTCTGAAAAATATGACATTTTTATGAGCATATAATAATTTCTGGTGACCCTCTTGCATCAAGAAATTTTTGTAGCTAAGAAGTCAATCACAAGTTATACTTCTTCAACTCAGAAGTAAGTTTATAAGCATCCTTGAAGTCCTTGCAACTACTGTTTAGGGACTTCTGCGGTGCTCACAATTCCCTATATTCTGGCAATATCCATGAAAATGACATGCAAGAGATGGTGAAGGACCCTGCAACACTAGTACTCTACCAAAAGCTTGTTGGTTTTGTATAATGATATATCAGCCATGGCTAGAAGTTAAATAAAGAATAAAAGATTTCATCATGTCAGCATTTTCAGAAAACTGTATCTAAAAATAGCTGTCAGTGACTCTGACAGAGACCTAGACAGTCACTTAAGAAATCTAATACATCCCGTGGGAATCTGTCACAGAAAATAAATGCAGCGGCAGCACCAGACTCGACAAGACTGGAATAGAAGCAAGGTCTGAGAGGATCCAAGTAGTATTCATATTTAGGGACTGACCATGGACTATTTGAGTGACACCCTTAATGACACTAATTTACTCCAAGATCATGGTTGAATCTGATCTTGGTTGTTCACGTGACCTCCAATCTTTCTTTTGCATATTCAATTATTCTGCCTGTAATCTTGATCCACCATTTTCTCTCCATAATTCAAAAGTCCCATTTTGTATTAAAACCTTTAGATAGTTGACCTATTGTCTGCAGAAAGGTATATGCACAATTTGAGTGTATGTATTTTGTCTACCCACAACTCCAATTGTCCATTTCTCTTCCATCCTAATGCCAAATTGTCATTCCCAAATGCATCAGGCTGCTTGCTTGTGATGACACAAATAACTGTACTATCTTCACTACCAAAATTCGTTCTTCCTTCCCACTGCTTGTCAGTTTGATGAGGTTCCACTTGTCTATCTTATCTCTTATGGCACGGGCACTTGGACTTTTGATCATGAATTGGCTGCCAGTTCCAATTTCCATAAGGATATCTTCTGTATTTTCTAAGGTTCTTATAGTTTGAGGTTTTATGTTTATGTTTAGATCTTTGATCCATTTAGAGTTGAATTTTTGTAGATGGTGATAGGTAGCGGTCTTGTTTTCGTCTTCTGCAAGTGGTCAGTCAGTTTTCCCAGCACCATTTTCTGAATATGTTCTCCTCTCCCCAGTGGTTGTTGATGGAGGCTTTGTTGAAGATGAGTTGGTAGAAAAATTGAGGTTTTGCTTCTGGAATCTCTATCCTGTTCCATTTGAAAACACTCCTGTCCTTGTACCAATACAAGACTGTTTTGATTATTGTAGCCATATAATAAAATTTAAAGTCTGGGAGTGTGATACCTCTGGTTTTTTTCTTTCTTTTTTTCTTCTGAGGATTGTTTTGGCTATTTATGGCCATTTATGTTTCCATATGAACTCCTGTATTGTCATTTCCAGGTCTGAGAAGGATGCTACTGTTAATTTAATGGGCACTACATTAAATCTGTAGATTGCCTCGGGTAGGATGGATATCGTAACATTATTGATTTTTCCAATTCATGAGCATGGAATATTTTTCTATTTGTTTATATCATCTTTGAGTAGTATCTTGTAGTTTTCATTGTAAAGGTCTTTGACTTCTCTGATTAGGAAGATGCCAAGATATTTCATTTTTTGTGTTGCTATTGTCAATGGGATTGTGCTTTTTATTTTGGTATCTGATTGTTTGTTGTTGGTGTATAGAAATGCAACTGTCTTTTGCACATTTATTTTATATCCTGAGACTTTGCCAAAGTCCTTTAGCAGTGCAAGGAGGCTTTTGACAGATTCTCTTGGGTTTTTCAAAGTGTATAATCATGTCTTCTACAAAGAGGAATAATCTGACTTCTGCTTTTCCTATTTGGATACCCCTGATTTCCTTCTCTTGTCTGATTGCTCTAGCTGGGACTTCCAACACTAAATTGAACAGAAGGGGTAAGAGTGGACATCCCTCTCTTGTTCTGGTTTTCAGGGGAAATGGTTCCAATTTTTGTATATTTAGCAGTATGTTGGCTGTGTGTTTATCATAGATGGCTCTTACAATTTTGAAGTATGTTCCATCTGTGCCTAGATGTTCAAGGATTTTTATGAAGACGAGATCCTGGATTTTATCAAAAACTTTTTCGGCATCTAATGATATAATCATGAGGCTTTTGTCTTTACATCTGTTGATGTATTTAATTATGTCTATAGTCTTGCAGATGTTGAACCAGCCCTGCATCCTGGGGTTGAAGCCTACTTGGTCATGGTGGATGATTTTTGAGACGTGTTGTAAGATCCGGTTTTCTAGAATCTTGTTGAGAATTTTAGCCTCTATGGTCATCAAAGATATTGACCTGTAATTCTCTTTCTTTGTTGGATCTTTACCCAGTTTGGTTGTCGATGTGATGTTAGCTTCATGAAATGATTTGAGAGTTCCATCTTTCTCAATTGCCTGGAATACTTCCAATAGGATTAGTATTAGCTCCTC